CATTGTTTGCCGAAGCACAGACCTGTTGTAGGACAAGTTTTTTACCGGAAAAAGTTCTCGATTACAAGACACTTACTCTCGCAACTGCAATCAAATTTAGCTAATCACCGAACGCCATAAACCACATGTTTACTCATATATTTTGAAATGTTTGTACACTGAGTTTATTTCTTAAGCTAAAAATTTAAGCTAATATTCTAATTTATCTGTTTCGGCTAATTGAATCAGCGGGGACTCTAGTCTGAGCAATCTATTATTCGATATGATGTCTGTTTCATTTAAAGGACTTCCTCTATGTCAACTCGTTTCAAGAGATTCTTGGTAATTTTGCATACCAGATTGGAAGCCCCGGTTTATGCCTTCATGACCAGGGTATTTTTAAAAGTATTTTCCGAGAAAAGAAGAGTTCTTTATCAAGTGATTAGCAGTGGTGCGACAGACAGAGCTGAAGGAACGTTCAGCTAAAATGAAGCAGAGTTAGGCCATGCGGCTTAAATCAAGCGGCCATTGAGTCATAAATGAAGCAGACTTCATAGCCCAGTACCAAGACAATTTCAGGCACCAGAAAAAAAATCACCTGGATTAAATGCACAGAGGCAAAGCTTGTCTTCGCATACCCGATCAACAAAATGGCTAAGAGTCAGTTGCCTTATGTAACATTCGCCCGGAAGTACATAGCGACGAAAAATGAAGCTAGGTTATGAAACGACTGGCTAGAGTCTAAGCACAGCTTCATATGCTTTTAATCGTCTCTGTCAAAGCCAGTTCTAGGTGTGGTCCTTTAACATCGGGTCGACAAAGTCATTACTGTTTTGGGCTATCGGCCAGAACGCGCAGATTAACTTAGTTACATGCAAAACAGTGAGCTCATGGCTGGGTCTCAGTATCCCCGGACCACGAGGTCACTCCCAAAAAACAGTGCTACTACTTATTATTATTATTATTATTATTATTTATTATTATTGAAGCTTTACAACAAAAGTTGAAGGGCGTGAGCCCGTAAACATATTAAGAAAAGTCTATGGAATGCGGGAAACGGCAGTTGCTACACAGGCAGCCAAAAGTCCAGGAGCACGAGTCTAGTTCGTTATAGTGGCGGTGATAGTAGTCCCAGAAAAACTTGATAACACGCGGTTTGACGTTGCTCCCATCGAGGTTGATATGTCGGTGGAGAAGATTATAGAGGCGTGGGGCACGATACCAGAAATTCTGTCGTTGAATTTCTTTTGTGATGACAGGAAGTTCAAATAGGCTGTGAGTATGAGCTCGTGTGCGGTGCTCTCTGTTTTCACTTCTTCTTGTGTAATCATACCAGGGGAATGTGGAGTTAGCACCGATAAGTTTGAGGAAAGCAAGAATATCATACACTTGAATATTTAGAGTCAGATGAGTTTTTTCAATCTGTCACAGTAATTGTCATCACAATAATTAAGCATCCAGTAGGTGGCGCGTCTTTGGACGCGTTCAATCAGGCGCAGATCACCTTTCGATGGACTCCAAGCAGTGGATCCGTACAGTAGAATTGGTATCACCATTGATTTGTAAAGGTCCTTTCTATGCTTTGTGCTCACTCGGTGGCCAACATTTCTTTTGATTAAGTTTAATACTCTATTTGACTTGCTGCAGGCACCAGTTATGTGGTCTTTCCACTTCAGCTTGTCGCTTACCAAGAGGCCAAGATCTTTTTCCAAACTTGAATGAGCTAACGGTTTGCCATAAAGAGCCAGATCAGTTGGCTCTGTTCTAGAAAAGGTAACAATTGAACATTTGCCGACATTGAAGCTCATGTAGTTTGATCTACACCACTCTTCTAGAGAGGACAGATTCTCCTGCAACCTGGAATTTAGGATCTTCTGACGTATTGACAATATCTTTGTGTCATCAGCAAACATGAATGTCTCAGAAACTAGATTGAGAAGCAAGTCAGCTACATAGATGATGAATAGTAATGGTCCAAGAAGTGAACCTTGGGGAACCCCGCTGGTTACATCAAGAAGTTCGGACCTTGCATCTCCAATTTGGACAAACTGTTTACGTTGATCAAGATAACTGCGCAAAACTTTGAGTAACTTTCCTTGGATACCCAGAATCTTCAGTTTTCTCAGAAGCACAGTGTGATTTATTTTGTCAAATGCTTTCGCAAAGTCCAAATAAACGGCTTCGATTGTTACGTCAGTGTTGGAGATATTGCGATAGACATTGTCTAGATAGCAGAGCATTTGTAAACCTGGTGAGCGATTTTTGGTGAACCCAAACTGCGAAGAGTTTATGTGTGGAATGACGTGAGGATAGAGAGCATTGAATATCAGTTTTTCGTGGATCTTCGAGGCAATGCTGAGGAGCGTGATGGGTCTGTAGTTCTCTACATGTAGCTTCGAACCCTTTTTATGGATCGGGCTTACTGCAACTTCTTTCCATTTAGCCGGATAACATCCCACCTGTTGTATTTTAAAGAACAGCTGGTGTAAAGATTTGCTCAAAGTTGGCGTGTTCTTGAAAAGCACAGGTGGGAGTAGATCAGGTCCACGGGATTTTGTGACATCTAGCGAAATCATCACTTTTCCAACAGCGGCGCTGCTCACTTCGTAGCCATTCAGGAAAGTTGATACAACTGTGGATTGAGAACCAGGTGTTTCGGGAGTCGATGAAGTGAAAGTAGATTGGAAGAACTCATTAAACATGCAGCACTGATCATTCAGGGACTCTGCAGATTTTGAACCCCAGAAAAGTTTCAGTGGTATCGATCCACTGCCTCGAAGACTTTTGAAGTATTTGAAGAGTCTTGTTGTACTTCGCCCTTCAGCGAGTTTTTCTTCGTATGCGCTTTGGTCGGATGCCCCAGCTATTTTTATCTGGCTTTCGATTGTCTTTAGTTTACAAAGCATGCTTTCCGTTGGTTTTCGGTCGTACTTGCGAGATATTGTCTTCAGTTGCTTCATCAGGTGCGAGGTACTGCTGGAGATCCATGGAGGTAGTGAGCTCCGGTGTTGAGTTTTGTATGGTACACACTGTTTTAAAAGGTGGTCCAACCATTTATACCACTCTTCAAGAAGTACATTGATATTGGACCTGCAGTTGCCAGTGAATGGATTGTTTGCGATCAGGCAGTTGAGTTTTCCATAGTCAGCAAGTGCAAAGCTGTATTTATGGTTTGGCCCGTGTGTTGACTCCAATTCCTTCCCAATTAATGTGACCTTGATAGGAAGATGGTCGGAGCAATTTTGGCTTTTGACGCTGTACAAATTGTTGAAAACATGAAACGGAGACACGCTAGCGATGCAAGAGTCGGATGAGCAGAGAACTATGTCGATACAGGAAGTAGCAGTTGTTTTGAAATCAACGAGCTGTGTAAGGCTTCTGCGGTCAAACTCGACCAATATATCATTTTCATGATCATCATTGGAATTCAGTGTGTTCCAGCAGACTGTCGATAAGTTTGCGTCGCCAACTATAATGAGAACTTCATTATCCATGCGAAGAGCTTGAATACCTTCCAGGAGTTTCTTCCAGTGATCCAAAGTCCATCGGTATGGACTTGAAGAAGGCGCGTTATAAACATTCACTAGTATGTAGTTCTGCTTGGCAGTGAAAAGTCTACAAGCAACGTACTCGACATCTGAACATTCAGATATGATCAAATGTTCATGCTTGATATCTTTGGATATTGCAATCAAGACACCGCCATGTTTAGAGACGCCATTTTTGCTAGCACGCTCACGCCGATAGGCAATGTAACCGGTTAACATAAGTTCACTATCCAAACACTCAGGTGTAAACCAAGTTTCAGTTAGTGCGAGCACATGCGGTTTTGTGGCTGCTACTGCTCTTGAGAACGCGTACCGGCGTTCCATAGAGATCAGACTTCTGACGTTGAAGACAAGTAATTCGATGAGGGCGTTGTGACAATCATTTAGTCATTGCACTGTTAGAGGTATCAGATTCGAATCTTGGTATAGCTTTGACTGGCGAATTTTGAGTCTTGATGATTCAATTCCTTCATTAATGAGTTCACGTCTTCTTTTGAGTGCGGCGTTCTCAGCTTTAATTTCCATTTCACCAAGTCCTTTCGATAGATAAACTTTTTCGTTGTAGGATTTGAGCATTGGGGCTTTCGAGAGTACTTTTCGTACATCCCAGACACGTGGCAGAGTGATGAGAAGAGTTCTGGGTCGGCTTCGTTCTTTTTTGTAAGCACCGAGACGCTTCAAGTTGCATATGGTAAGAGGCTCAGACAAATGGTTGAATACACGTTCAACTGCTGCTGTTTCAGCTTTAATAATTTCCGCTGGGTTCTTGTTATCAAGTTCGGGTAGACCATCAAGTCTGATTTGATAGAGGTGCGTTTCGGTAGACGACTCGGGCGAAATTTGCGTTGGTACTTGTACAGGCGGCGCGCTTCGCTCCGCTGCTTTTATTTCAGTCACATTAGCTCTGACCGATTCAACTTCATCTCTGACTCTTTCAACTGATGACTCTATTTTGGGAATGCATGCTTTGAGTTCGCCTATCCCAGTTGAGAGTGTAGATACAATATCTGTCATTGTTTGCTCTTTGTTCAAAGATTCTTTCAGCTGTGAGAGGCACTGGCGAAGGAGGCATGTAAGACTTGACTTTTGTTGACCGTTTAGTATTTTGTTGACATCGTCTTCCGACGCCCAAACCAACTGGGCGATAGTTGGGTAATAGTCTTTCCCACTGAAAGCGCGGGTGGCGCTCTTCAAGGTATCATCAGACATGCTTCGAATATAGTATACCCAGGAAAAACCCAGTAATGAGAAGGAATAGAAAAGGCAGAGGGGCTAGTTCACCTTGGGAGAGCGTACGGGGTTTCCTGGTCTGAACGTGATCTCAGTTAAAAGCCTGGGAATCCTGTTCCGTCAAGAGTGTGCAGTGGCTCGTTCTGTTGTTTGTGATTCCCACTCGTTGAGTACAGCCAGCGAGGTCTCGTTCCGTTGTCAGGGAAGTCGTCGTTTCAATCTCCGATCATTTCCAACATGAAACTATTTAATAAGTTTATCACAACAATTAGCACTGTTGTACAGGCGGTTTTTTTTATTTATTAGTTTTTTTTATTTATTAAAAAAAACTAAATTACAAAAGGGGCCCTTCCGTTTAGATACGGTAAGTGCACAAGCTGGATAGGGCCATACCAGCGATATAAAAATGCATATATATCAGCAATGAAGTCATAAATCAGCATTAAATGCATCGTCATAATATTAATTTATCTTAGCCGTCCTTCCTCTACAATAGCGCTTAAGGAGTTGTCGATAAATTGAACTTTGCGTAGCGATCTGCACCCCCTTATACAAAGTATAGAGCTCCTCAGGAGCGCGAAGCTTATTTTAGTTCTTATGTAGTTCATAGATTCTGGATAGCTTTCTTGTCTTTTCTCACTTAGTTTTTCGGCCAATCGCTGCATCGTCCGCGTGGCTGTTGGAGCAGCGCCACCGGTGCATCCAAAAATTAGCGGGCAGAAGCTACTCTGCTCTATGTTTAAAATTCTTTGCTGATATTTGGAGTTCTTCAGCGTTTCGTGGTATTTGTATGCATCCTTATGCAGTTTCCGCGATGTTTTGACATGGGGGTTGAAAATTTTCGCATCAAAGAAAGCGCGGCTGAATCGTGAACCCCAGAGTCCGTTTGCCTTAATGTCAAGTCGTGGCTCATCTTCAGTTGTAGTTGAATTGTTGACAAAGCTTTCGCCTTGCAACGGCTGAAGCTTGGGCTCAACCTCGACGTCATGGCAAACCTCGTTCATGAGGTTGGCGAATGTGTCTCTGAATTCATTGTGTCTTGTGGATTCAATTTCAGGATACTCTTGTATTCCACGGGTGGTGGAATCGTGAATTCAGCCTTCCGGAGAGGAAATAAGGGTGTTATTTCCCCGGATTCAGGAATCCGGAGGGGTCTTGGGACTTGAAGTTGAACCATTTTTTTTTCAAACTTTTAGCTTCCTGGTCATCTCCGATCATTTCCAACATGAAACTATTTAATAAGTTTAGTTTATCACAACAATTAGCACTGTTGTACAGGCGGTTTTTTTTATTTATTAGTTTTTTTATTTATTAAAAAAAACTAAATTACAAAAGGGGCCCTTCCGTGTAGATACGGTAAGTGCACAAGCTGGATAGGGCCATACCAGCGATATAAAAATGCAGATATATCAGCAATGAAGTCATAAATCAGCATTAAATGCATCGTCATAATGTTAATTTATCTTAGCCGTCCTTCCTCTACAATAGCGCTTAAGGAGTTGTCGATAAATTGAACTTTGCGTAGCGATCTTCACCCCCTTATACAAAGTATAGAGCTCCTCAGGAGCGCGAAGCTTATTTTAGTTCTTATGTAGTTTATAGATTCTGGATAGCTTTCTTGTCTTTTCTCACTTAGTTTTTCGGCCAATCGCTGCATCTTCCGCGTGGCTGTTGGAGCAGCGCCACCGGTGCATCCAAAAATTAGCGGGCAGAAGCTACTCTGCTCTATGTTTAAAATTGTTTGCTGATATTTGGAGTTCTTCAGCGTTTCGTGGTATTTGTATGCATCCTTATGCAGTTTCCGCGATGTTTTGACATGGGGGTTGAAAATTTTCACATCAAAGAAAGCGCGGCTGAATCGTGAACCCCAGAGTCCGTTTGCCTTAATGTCAAGTCGTGGCTCATCTTCAGTTGTAGTTGAATTGTTGACAAAGCTTTCGCCTTGCAACGGCTGAAGCTTGGGCTCAACCTCGACGTCATGGCAAACCTCGTTCATGAGGTTGGCGAATGTGTCTCTGAATTCATTGTGTCTTGTGGATTCAATTTCAGGATACTCTTGTATTCCACGGGTGGTGGAATTGTGAATTCAGCCTTCCGGAGAGGAAATAAGGGTGTTATTTCCCCGGATTCAGGAATCCGGAGGGGTCTTGGGACTTGAAGTTGAACCATTTTTTCAAACTTTTAGCTTCCTGGTCATGCCCTGAATTCATTTTCTACTTATTTATTATATTACTATTGTTTTTGTTCAGTAGATAAAAATCATCATATCCATCGGACATGGATCATCCCTTTCCCTTAACTCCTAGCTTCTCATTATCTGAAAACGAATTTTGATGTTATTAATTACAATTCGGGACATATCCGGAAGCTAAAAGTTAATAAAAATCTGTTTCAGTTTTCTTCCCGAGACCCTTCCTACTACTACTACTACTCACAAATAATAAAGAAATGACAGATGTTTTTCTCAACATTTCACATCATTTTTACTCATTTTTACTCGACTGTGCGGGGAGTATGTGACATTCGGCCAGAATTGACAAAGAGACAATTTCGGAGGGTTAGCCGCTGACCCAGAGAATTGGCAGTTTCAGAGGATAAGCGACGTTATTTAAAGGTTTAGACGATTTGTGAAGGTCAGGATACTCTGGTATTTTAAATTTTCAAAATTTCGAATGATGACGTCATTTTTCCGAGAAACGACGAAACGGCCATTTTTGGAAGAAGACCAAAAATGAAACACAACCACAACGAGAGTTGCGACAACAACAACGATAGTTGCGAGAAAAATTACGACGGAAAGTAGAAAAATACAACAGAGTGTTTGCAAAGACCGCTCCAAGTTGTAACGATTGTGTCGCTACAATCGTTACAGGGCCATTCACGCCAACGGTTGTGCCATTCTGCCAGATTGACACAGCGCAACCTTCCGGCGACACGAGAAAAAACGAACAAAGGCCTTATTAAGGAAAAAGTATTGCGAAAGAGTATAGGAATATTCTAGAATTTTTTTATTTTCAAAATTTCGATTGAAAAGTGAATATTTCTGAGAAATACAAAAAGACGGCCATTTTGACGAAAAACGACGAAAAAACAGAAGAACGACAAATATTGTGAAAAACGGTCGCACAAGAGACGAAAAATACGAAGCCTCTTATCGTGGCAACAACACATGATAAGACCCTTATCAGCGGATATTAGTGGAGAAGGAAGCTTCAGGGGGGAAGGAATATTCCACGGAACCCTCCCGTGCCACAAATTGGAAGACATAAAAGCGTTAACAAAAGCGTTAAGATAAAATCTCAGGAAGATTACGGGAGCGGAGGCTTGGTCCCCATGAGACTGTCTTATGTGAAGGGACTATATAAAACTAACTTTGTAGCTACTTGGATGTCGTAGAACTCTGAATTAACACCGGTAAAATTTGATATTTTAGAATATGAGTAGCTAGAAAGAGGAAAGGGTCAATCCATCTCCAATGGATTTAATATAGAACTGTAACACAAAAACATATTAAAATAGGTTGTTCGAGCCGTGTTTTTAATGGAAATCACGTAGTCTGAGGATCCGAGACTCAGCTATGTGGTTGTGTTCTCATGTAAACGAAAGTTGATCAAAAGTCGTTTGACTGATGGCCTAAAAATAGTAACTTTTTACTTAGCCCTAAACAGACCAGAAAATCAACTGGCAAGGTCGAGACGGTGAAAAACGAGTAGGATTAAGGTAACTGACGCCTGCCAGTCGTTAATAGGTACTTTTTCTACGCTCCGTCGCTGTGTAGTATTTGGGCGAAAGTTACAGGTGAAGGGTGGTGGAATCGTGAATTCAGCCTTCCGGAGAGGAAATAAGGGTGTTATTTCCCCGGATTCAGGAATCCGGAGGGGTGTTGGGACTTGAAATTGAACCATTTTTTACAATATTTTAGCTTCCTGGTCATGCCCTGAATTGAATTTAATTAACATCTGGATTCATTTTCTAATAATGAGAAGCTAGGAGTTGAGGGAAAGGGTTGATCCATCTACTGAACAGAAACAATAGTAATAGAAAAATTAGTAGTGGCCTTGTTCTTAGGAGTGACCTCGTGGTCTGGGGATACTGAGACCCAGCCATGAGCTCACTATTTCGCATCTGAGTAAGTTAATTTGAGCGTTCTGTTCGAAGCCGGAGAACAGTAACGTTTTTGTCTACCCGATGTTGAAAAGACCACCAAAAGAACTCGCTTTGGTAGAGACGGTGAAAGGCATGTAGAGCCTTGTTTAGACGCTGGCCAGTCGTTTTATATCTTAGCTTTATTTTCCGTCGATATGTACTTCCGGGCGAATGTTACATAGATGTTTTTATGGCGCTTGTGGGTGTTATTCTTTTTTAACATCATGACCGGCAGAACCGTTAACGAGCACTCCGCGCCGAGCGGACGCTCATAATAACGCCCTTTATAGACCCTAACCGCCGTGGCGGAAGGGTAGTTCGGAACGCGGAAACCTTCCGGATTCCCGTGAATAGCTTTTTAACCTAGTTAGCACCCAAAATTCACGTTCCAGGAAGGGTGGGGGGATCGGCCGTCCCCTCATTCGCTGAGAGGTCTCTGACCAAAAACACTTAAAGGTATTTAAAAAACCAAACAACAAGTATTATAGTACCCAAGAAAAACAAAAAACATAAAAAATAATCGAAAAAACCAAAAACAGTTTAAAAAAAAAGTATACAATCTGTTGAAATCATCCCCCCAGACGAGAGATGATCCGACCCTCCCATTTGATGTTGTTAGATAGATTGTTGTTACAGGCCTTTATATCAGTCAGGATCGTTACGATCAATTTTGTGGCCCGTTTGTGAGGCTTTCACTGTAGGGTTAGTTGAGTATTTAAGCACGTTAATGCTAATTTGCGCTCAATCCGAAAGGGTATTGGGATAAGTGAAGAAGACTGATCCGGCAAGCAGTTCAAGGAGCGACAAGAAGGGGCTCAACGACAACAACAACCGACTGTTGGGTATCGTTAACAAGTTTTGTAACCCTTTTGGTACAAAAAGTAAGATATTAATCTGTGGGGGGGGGCTCGACAGTGCTGCACTGTAGTGACCCTTCACCGAACTGGGAAATTATGAGTTAAGCACCTTAATTCGGATATTGAACAAACCCGGATGGGTATAGTATTACTAATATTATTATTTATACAGCCTATATTAATACTCCTATATCGTTTTTCAGTGAAAAACACAGTAAAAAGACCGGTTTTTAGGGTCAAAATAGCGATATTTTGATCCCCCCACAAAT